TGGTGGCCCAGATCACATTGTGGTCAATCTGTGGAGTGCCCCAAGTGAGAAAGACCACCCATTAGTCTCTGAATTGCAAGGCAAGGAGAGTAACTCTCTGTGAAGTATTTGCCAAATGATAACGTCACCTACACATATGTTCCTCTGGTGGAAAATTACACGTCTGAGCCAGGGACAGTTGTACATTTAAAGGTTCACATCAGCAAGGAATCCCTCCAGCTTTCCTCCCCGATGAATGCCCAGATCCGCACAGGCAGATGTAGCTGAGCCTCTAGGCCGGGGGTCTGGAGAGGCAGCCACCACAGAGAGGGAGTTTTTCATGAGTGATGCTTGTGGATCAAAGTGAAACCCCTGACTTGTGTGCCCAGGGGCAAAGATCTGAACCCCTGGCCTGAAAGAGGGCTCTGTTGAAAGAACAGTAGTCCTCCCTATGCTGAAATTGGCCAGTGGGAGTTTTTCAATTTGCACCTGGTGTTGGGCAGGAGTTCATGAAAATCCACAGAAAGGAATGTTTCCGAGTTGAATGATGGAAGAGGAAAAAAAAGGTGAATGGTAGTCCTCCGGAATCATGAAAAGCCCTGATTGAATTTCTGAAACAGACTTAAATCTTTGCCGAGGAGAATGCTTCCCGGCTGGCCTCAGAGGTTTGCCCGGCACTAACGCATGCAGTGGGGCGTCCGCTGTCCCCTCTGTAGGGAGGCTTTGGGAGGCCAGCCGAGTAGCTCACAGCCACCCGGGGAAGCCATAAGGGCTGTGCTTTTCTGACCAGGAGTCTTCTCTTTCCAGGGCAGAAGCCTTTTCCCAGCCCACTGATTACTTAAAAATCATACTCAGTGACAGCCCTTTCTTGACTAAGAAGCAGATTTTTGGTATTTTCTAAACCCACTTTTTCTTTCCAAAAGGGCCAGCGTCTTTTTGTAAAACACACATTGTATGTCATCTAGTAATTATCTTTCAGTAGTACAAAAATAATAAATGCTCACTACACAAATTTCACAAGCCACTGAAGAGACTAATAAAGAGACTTAAAGTCACCCTTAATGTTACTCTGGCATTGACCACCATGAAAGGATCAGAGGGTATTCTTTCAGTCTCCCTTTCCTAAGCATTTAACAATATACAAGAAATGTGTTTTATAAACTATAAAAGAAACCCCAAATGTATATTTGAGAACTTGAAACTACAATAACTGAAGTTAAAATTACCAAAGACCACAGTGTTGCTTTGCTGAAAAGACACCTCTGTATGTCTATTTTACTTGACTTCCCAGAGCGTTTGAAACTGTTGACCAAATGTCTCTTTGAGATCTTACTGTTTCTTGTCAGTTTCCCACTCCCGCAGCCCTTATCCTGGTCACTCTCTAGAAACTACTGCTCTTAAAGCTTTCTGTTATGGGACTTGAGATCTCTCTGCCCGAGATTTCCAAATTTGTGTTCTATGCCATCATGAGACATGCATCTTAAACATAATATAGAAATGTGAAAATAGTTAAGCCATGAATTCTATACACTTGAAGGAATAACTTTCCTCTGTGAGAAGTAGAAATGATCTGAATGGTTTCATTCTTGGCACATTGCTAGTTTTGAGAGGTTGAGGAAACATTCAAATGACCTGTCTGAAAAATATGAAGTAGGCCACATGTTAGGAAACTTTGGAATAAAGTGATGGGAACCAGGGTGAGGTAGAGGGGAGTGATTCACAGTGCGATGTGGATGCTAGGACTGCGTCCACACTAACGAGGGGTAGGAAGGCACCATTCGTCCAAGTAATGTGGGAAATCTTTGCCATCATTCACTTAAATGCCCTGTAACTTTTTTACGGAATGGGTTGTTCCAACGTAGGGAACTCCTGGTCTCCTCATCAGAGAAGCCTGCTGGCTCTATCACTCGTCATTTCACTTTCCATTAAGATGCTCGTTTGCTCCCAGCTTGACTTATCTCTGCTCTGTCTTACTTCTTTGTGGTCCTGCTTAAATGTGCTTGAATTTGTCAGTGTGGTAGGTTCAGACTGTGGTCAGAGTTAAGATAATTTGTTAAGCTGATGGAAGCTAAGACTTCAGAAATGGACATTGGACTTTCCAGTACCTTTATGAAAAATTGTGACTCTTGGGTGCAGATCATAATGATAATGAAGAAGTTTGATTTCTGGATTATGTACCATGCATTGGATCAGATGCTTTATAAGCCTTATCTCATTTAGTTCTCCATCAAGCTTAGGCAGTAGCTACATCTCTTATTTCTAGCCCACAGAAGTGTAAACAAGGCTCAGAGAGGTTAAGTCGCTTGCCTAAGTTCACCCAGCAGGTAAGTTGCAGGGCTTCTACTTGATCCTGGACTATTCTATTTTAGAACCTTAATGGCTACATGTTGCTGCCTCCCCTTGTTGTCCTGGAACATTTCTCATCAATTGAACCCGGTAATGGCATTTCAGGCTGGCAGAGGCTCTCAGCCCTGGATGTACATTGACTCACAGGGACCTTTTGAAAAATGCTAATCCCAAGTCCAGCCCCTAATGAGTCTGATTTAATTGGACTTGAGGTGAGTACTGGTATCTTTGCTTAGGTCCAGCCCACTGTTTGGTTTTTTGAAAAAGTGATTCCAAGGCTCAGGCAAGCTCTGAGTTGGAGATATATTTTCTTCTGGGAAATAGATGCATAAACTCTCGGAGTTCAATTTCTTCTCCACCGTCTCTCCACCTTGTTCCGAATGCCCAGCCTTCTCTCCCACAGACACACGCGTTTCAAGAATCCACGCCTGTTCAGAAGTTTTCTAATCACTCCCCTGAGCACTCCCTAAGAAATCCCGTATTTAGTTTGGCCCAAATGTTGGTGTGGAGGATGCCTTATCGTTAGATTTTGATCAACTGATGTGTGCCGCATCTTCCCACCCAGTTAATTTGTATAGTCCTTAAGGGCAAAGCTATGTGTTCTCCAACTTCTCTTTCCCCAAAGATACCTCGCATACTGCTGTGTGTGCAGGTGTATGAAAAATGCTGGCTGAGTTAGTGCAAAACTACTATGGGGTTTCAAACCTATGAGAGAGTATGCAAGGGACAAAGAAGAAAGATAAATCTGGTATTGGCAATCTTTTAGAATAATTGTACTTTATGTATTCAGAAAATATTGAACATCTCTTATGTGGCAATCATATTCTACTGAAAGACAGAATTATCCCATATATAAACCATAAGTGAGTCTTTTCAGATCGTATCAGTATCTTTCTTGGTGGGCGTAATAAGATTTTTGAGAATTACAATTCACAGTCAAATGATGATGCAAATGACATATATGTGGGCTGTTCTAATTATTTCATGTATGTGGATGGGAGGCCTAAGGAAATTCTGCTAGTGACCTCTAGGGTAGGGAAAGCGTCAGTGTACTGGGTTCTCTTCAAATAAAACATGTCCCCAACACAGTGTTCAAATGGCTAAGGGATACATCATTTACTATGGGTTCTTTTCTTTTCTTTTCTTTTCTTTTCTTTTCTTTTCTTTTCTTTTCTTAAGTTCATTTATTTATTTTTGAGGGGTGGTGGGGGAGAGAATTGCAAGCAGGCTCCGTGCTGTCAGCTCAGAGCCTAAGGTGAGGCTCAAACTCAAGAACCATGAAATCATGACCTGAACTGAAATCAAGAGTCAGAGGCTTAACCGACTGAGCCACCCAGGTGCCTCACTGTGGGTTTTCTCTAACTGTGCTGAAAGGTGGGAAAAGGCATATTCCTGACAAAATGTTTATCTCATGTTGCTCTGGTGGTAACTTGGCAGTGATGGAGTTGTGGCTACTGGAGCCCTTTATAACATCATTTGACTACAGAACTCAGCTTTGTTTCTCACTGCTTCAGTAGGAAGCCTCTAAATAGTAGAAACAGTTATGAAAGACCATTGGTGTATTAGTTATCTATTGCTGCACAACGAATTACTATCAGTTTAGCAGCTTAAAATGAAACACATTTATTCCCTCACAGAATCTGTGAGTCAGGAGTCTGGGCGCAACTTAGCAGGGTACCCTCCTCAGGGTCTCAGAAAGCTGTCATCCAGGTGTCTTCCAGACTGCATTCTCACTTGAAGGCTTAACTGAGCAAGAATCAGCTTCTAAGCTCACTCAAGTTTTGGGGAGAATTCATTTCCTTGCATTTGTAAGACTGAGGCCTCAGGCTTGTTGGTACCTGTCAGCTGGAAGCTGTCCTAGAGAATGCCCTTAACCCCTTGGCATGTGGACCAATCTACCAGCAAGACAGAGATTTTCATACTACAACGTAACAATTGAGGTGATAACCTATCACTTTTGCTGTATTTTGTTGGGTTAGAAGCAAGTTCTAGGTTGGACCCATGCACAAGAGGAAGAGATTACACAGGGCTGCCACACCAGGAATATAGAACTAAGAATCATGGGGCCATCTTTAGAGTCTGTCTATCATACTTGGTTTTATTTAAAAACAAAACAAAACGAAATACTTGTCTTTGGAAATTATAACTAATGTAATAACTTTCAGTGGTTGCTGATAAGCAGACATCTTAAACACTTTCCTTTTATAAATTTAAACTTTGTTCTCCATGGGTCTATTCTGGGGGTAGAAGGGGAGGTACATCTTTTAAACATTACTTTAAAACTGGTTTGTAGGGGCACCTGGGTGGCTCAATCAGTTATGTGTCCAACTTTGGCTCAGGTCATGATCTCACGGTTTGTGGATTCAAGCCCCGCATTGGGCTCTGTGCTAACAACCCAGAGCCTGAAGCCTGCTTCAGATTCTGTGTCTCCCCTTCTCTCTGCCCCTCCCCTGCTCACACGTTGCGTGTCTGTCTGTCTCTGTCTCTCAAAAATAAACAAACATTAAAAAAAAACTGGTTTGTAAACTGACAAATGTCTACACTGTTCATGATTTTTATGACGGTCCAAGGCCACCTCCTATCTTTTTGAGGTAAGCTGACTTCATCCTGTTCTATACAATAGGCAGCCAAAATAAATCGACTGAATTTTTCAACGTGCCTTTCTAGGAGACAAGCCTTCTCGGGAATATTTGCCAAGTGAACGTCCTCTGTGCAGACTCACATGATGCTCTGTCATCTTTGGGAGGAGAGCCAATATTGTGAAAAGTTGCCAGTGAAAAAAATGGATCACAGCAAAATAACCGGAGCATTTAACCAGCCTGAGTTTGGTATGCCTGATGTCCATACCCTTTTAGGAAATATTTGCCTTTTATTGTCACTCTTTGCCTAGCCAGTATTTTAGTGGTTCCTTTTGCCTCTGGAAATTGGAGCCCTCAAGATACTAGACTCCAAGGGTGGTTTTGTCAGGACACAGGCAGTCACCAGAGAGTGGCTTGGAGGGAGTACTGATAATCCCCATTACTCATTACTGCCACCATCTTCCCCCCTACCATCCTCCGCTCCCTGCCCCGCAAGCTCCCCCCCCCCATCACCCCTGCCTTTTCCTTGATATGGACAGTTGGTGTTTTCTTAGTCTTATGTAAAGTGCCGTAAACTAAGCTTGCAACTTGACTCCTCACTTACACCCTTCCATCCAGATTGCTACCCCCACATCACTCTCATTGAGAGGTTCGGGGGCTTCTCTCATTTCACGTTGATATCAGAAGAGAGATTTGGAAACATTTGTATCTTTTTCTTGACCCTTCCCTGAGAATTCAAAGGGGAAAAAGTCACGTTACCTATTGTCTGAAAGACAGATGTGAACTAGCTGCTTCCCAGCCCCAGGTATCGGCTTTTGTTTCATCTCTAGGAGGTGATTGTTGCCGGCCTCTGCGGGTTTCCCGGGTCAAAGAAACAGAATTGAGAACCTGGAAGTGTTGATCAAGACAGGTGCTGCAACTTTGATCAGTTAAGTAAGAATAAATCGGAAATTTATGTTTAAATTCCCTTCGAAATGCAGGCACCCTTGGAGGTTAAGGGGAGAAAGCGTTTGGCAGAATACAGCTGAGAAGTTGCCAGCCATATAATGCTTGAAACATCGCCAGATCCAGTTTGCCAAACCTGAAAGCAGCCAGGTTTGCTCATCTCCACATTAAGGGAACATTAAGGTCTTTATCTCTTGACCTGAACCTAATAAAGAAGGGGAATTTTAGAGCTGAGACTAATGTCTTTTTGAAAAAAATCACCTCCTAGTGCCTAATTGTTGTTGAGATCTCTGTGCGATGTTGCACATCTAATCCATGATATTCAATAAGACCCAAGTGTGGAGTTGGCACATAAGTAAAGGATGTTATAAAGAGGGCAGGGACCAATTAGCCTCATTAAGTCGAGCAAGCCTCAGAACAAGTGATGGCCTTAAACTGCAGTAAGGAAAAATCAGATGAAATGTTAGAAAAGATGACATTATGTAATAGGCAAGGCCACAGCTGCATCAGGATATAAACTCACTTAACTTTTTTATTTAATTTTTAATTTATTTTTGAGAGAGACAGAGCCATGAGCAGAGGAGAGGCAGAGAGAAAGGGAGACACAGAATCCGAAGCAGGCTCCAGGCTCTGAGCTGTCAGTACAGAGCCTGACATGGGGCTCAAACCCACGAACCGTGAGATCATGACCTGAGCTGAAGTGGGACGCTTAACCGAGTGAGCTACCCAGGTGCACCTATAAAATCACTTCTAGTGCAGAGCCTGACGTGGGGCTCGATCTCATGACCGTGAGCTCATGACTGAGTAGAAATCAAGAGTCGGATGCTTAACCGACAAGCCACTCAGGCGCCTCTATAGTAACTCATTTAATCTTTTTTTCTTCCATTTAATCTTTATAATAACTTTATGCTATAGTTTTTTGTCATGGTATTTTGGGATAGTATTAACATTGACTAACTGCTATAACAAACATCCTAAAATCTTAGTGGTTTGCATAATAAAAGATTTATTTCTTCCTTACATCATTGTCAATAACATGATTAGCAGGCAGATTTTCACACCATGGTTTGGGGAGGCAGCAGCAGCTGGAGGGGACTCAGAATCTTATCCTGGATCTTCTGCAACTGGCAGGCAGACTATGAGAGAGGAGAGAAGGAGCAGAGAGGATGTTATGGGAGGCTTTAGGGGTCAGCTCACTAGTGTCATTTCTACCTCTTCCACATTCCAATAGTCAGAACAGGTCACAGGGCTGCACATAGATGAAAGAGGAGAATGGGAAATGTGGTTTTCTTGTGTTCCCAGGGGGGAAAAGAGTGTGATAGATGCATAATGATAGATCTGCCACAAAAAGGTGCTATTATTATCCCCGCTTTATAGCTGAGGGGATGAAGGCATTGGAAGGTTCAATATCCAAGATCACATAAATCAATACCCAATTTCAGAGTCAATAAGTAGGATGATGGGAGCCCATGCTTGTACCTACAACTCTCTACTGCCTCACAGTTATTGCAGGGCCAGAAATGTTATTCTCAAGCCTTTGCTATTTGTTTTGATGATTTTATCCCAGATCTAGCTTAGACTATTATTTATACATTTTTATGATTGGGTAAGTGTGCTATTTACAGAGTACCAGTCACAGATTATAATAAAAATCGGTTAGACAAACAAAACAGAATTCTTAATTCTGTAGGAACATTTTACATCAACTTTTCGCCCACACCTCCTACTTTCTTTCCCTGTCTCAGACCCACCCAACCACCAGTACCACTACTACCAAGAAAAAGGAGAAGAGAGAGAGAGAGAGAGAGAGAGAGAAAGAAAGAAAGAAAGAAAGAAAGAAAGAAAGAAAGAAAGAAAGAAAGAAAGAAAGAAAGAAAGAAAGATCCTGATAAAGCTTTCATAGTATTTGAGAAGGTCAAAGGGAGTTTAGTGAGTTAATATCTGCTGCCACCTGAAATTAACCAGACATTTGGCTCTTTTCCCAAAATGGATGGTTAAAAATACCAGACCATGAGGACTGAATGAGTTTCGCCCAACTTTCAGCCTTGTGCTCAATAGCAGGCCACTCCATGGTTTTTCTTACCCACCACTGCTATTTCTCATGTGTCCAAAAGCATCTGAAACCATCTCACTGAGCCTCCCCCGCGGAGCTTTGCCCTGAAGTCTTAGAGACAACCTCAGACTGGCCTGGTCAGACCCTTGGAAAACTTCAGTATCCTGCCTGTCAGATGTGTACATGTCAACACGCCACCTGTTCTGGCAGGAAACCAATTTTCTTTTCTGTTTCTTCCTCCTTTGGGAAATGTGCCTGTTTCTGGCATCTGTCCCCATGTATCCTGCTTCACACACAGAGACAAAGAAGTCATTTCATTTCTCAAGCCGTCTTTCCCACTTAAAAAAAAAAAAAAGAAAGAAAATTCTTGTGTTCTCTCCTAACAGTCCTCTTGACTCTTTCATCTTCCTCTACTTTATGTATCTAAAACTATTCTTCTTTCCTTGTATACTATTCTTGCTCCATTTTCTCTTAAAGTTCCCTTCTTTGTTTCTGTTTGGAGTCTTCATCTTTTTGAAATCACCTCTGATGTTATGAAAGAACCTCTCTTAAGTCATCTAAGGTGTTTTCATATGCATCAACCACCAATCTTAATGGTTTTCGTTACTGCTGTGGAACATTTTGCCACTGATCTTCAGAAAAGTTGGACTATTTGCTTTTCTTTCTTCCTAATAGTGCATACTAACATACAGATGGTATGGGTGAGAAAAACATGACAGTATTGAAATAGGGGCTTACACTATTGATCTGTACTTTAAGATACACGGCTTCCGGTACTTTTTTTTAAAGAGAACATTGGACTTTCTCATTTTTCCAAATTCCTGCCACCTCTGTTGTTTCAAACATGATTCCTTTGGGGTGTGAAAAGAAACAAGTTCCAGGGAGGCTGGTGTAGGCAGGTCAGATGGATTCTCTTCTTCCTACAGAATCATCCTGTGATCTTGGTAAAGTGAAGTTACAGGACAAAAGTGTATTTAAAGAAAGATATTATGGGACCGGAAGCTTAGAGAATTTAACTTTACTTCTGTGACTCAGATGCCTCCCATTTTAAGAAAGTCATCTGAACACTGTGTACTTTGGTTTTGCCTTTTCGTAAAAAGGAAACCAATAAAAATATAGCACTTACTATGTAGGCCCCTAACAAACTTCCAATAAATGGCTCGTTAAAATCCTTTTCAAAAAATGGTGTGGGTGAAAAAATTAATGAACTTACTCAGGAAGATGAAGTTCATTTCCCAGGAACTGGTATTTTGTGAACATTCTCTGCCCTCCTCCTTCTGTCTTCTACCAAATTTTTGCCAGTTTTTCTCTTCCAGTGAGCAACACTTGGGTTTGCTAGATGTGTTTCAAAGGACATGAGAATGTTAGTGAAAAACACGAGAAAGCAAGGTATAATGAAATATGTGGTACATGCTCTTAGACATAGTATGGATTTCCTTGTCATCCCCTCTCTGTCCTCTCTGAGACAAAGTGTCACAGTCACTAATTCTGCAGATTGTTATGGCAGAACCCATGGGCTCAAATCCTGGCCCCATTGCTGATTAGCTTTGTGATTTTCAGCAAGATAGATAACCTCTCCGGGCCTATCTGTCTTCATAAGCAAAGTCCTCTTTGGGAGCTGTAAGGCCCACATGAAGAAAAGCAAGAGAAACATTTAAACAGCACCTGGCCTGTTGTTAATATGCAACAAGTAGCTCTCCCATAAGCCCAACAGAGAATATTATTAACATATTAAACTAGTCTTTCTTCCTCCTCCCTTCAAATATGAATGGGTACAAATACTGTTTCCTTAAATTCCTTTGACCTTTACAGTTGATTGCCATGGGGAAAGAGAGGGTGGGTGGACACTTAAAAATTATATATATATATATATATATATATATATATATATACACACACACACATACATATATATATTTAAAAGTTTTAAAGTGTGTACTTATTTTTGAGAGAGAGGGAGACAGAGCACAGGTGGGGGATGGGCAGAAAGAGAAGGAGACACAGAATCTGAAGCAGACTCCAGGCTCTGAGCTGTCAGTACAGAGCCTGACACAGGGCTCAAACCTACTGACTGTGAGATCGTGACCTGAGCTGAAGTCCTATGCTTAACCGACTGAGTCACTCAGGGACCCCTGGGTAGACATTTAAACTCAGAGGTTGTAATTTCCCTTTGAGTTGAAAAGCTAACGTTTTGAGTCAGTAGTGTGACAATAGCCTTGAAAGCCACGCGTTTGGGAAAAACAAAAAGAGCCTTCTACTTTGTAAAGCTTCCCTTTACTTATCTAGAGTCAAGTCTGGTAAATTTGGACTCCAGAGCTTTATTTATAAGACCTAGAAAAAAGAAGAAGGAAGATATGATGTAAGAATAAATTTCATCTGACTGAAAGGCAAAGTAAGAAAGCCCTTCAGGTTCCAGAGAGAGGAGTCCAGGAAGGAAGAGGAAGGAGAGGCAAGATTCCAGAAATTGAGGAGTATAACCTTACCATCAAGATCAAAATTCTGGGGCGCCTGGGTGGCTCAGTTGGTTAAGCATTCGACTTCGGCTCAGGTCATGATCTCACAGTTCCTGGGTTTGAGCCCCGCATCAGTCTCTGTGCTGATAGCTAGCTCAGAGCCTGGAGCCTGTTTCAGATTCTGTCTCCCTCTCTCTCTGACCCTCCCCTGTTCACGCTGTCTCTCTCTCTCTCTCTCTCTCAGAAATAAGTAAAACGTTAAAAAAAATTTTTTTTAAAAGATCAAAATTCTGAGTGGAAGAAGGCTTGAGAAACTCTCTCAGCAAATTGACACAACCTAAACATCTCAGGATAAATGTTAGTTGAGTCAGAAGCCCTTCAGGAAAGAGCTCCCTGTTTTGAGCCTAGCACCGGAGCAGCACGGAGCATGGTTCAGAAAGCCTGGAGGTGCCCTTCTTGGTCCACATGGAGCTGCAG